GCCCCTCCGCCTGCCCCCACCGCACAGGGCCCCACCCCGCACACCCGCGCCCGTCAGCCCCCCGCCCGGAGGGAACTGGCGGTGACCTGGAGCTCACGCGTGCGTGGCGTCCGTCAGTCCCCTTTGGCCGGATCTGGGTTTTATTTCTCCTGACAGCTGACAATAGCTGTCACCCGCTGCAGCCTCCGGGGAGACCCTGTTTGGACGGCCTTGTTTGCTGGGCAGGAATGGAGCAAGGCAGCATTTACTTAACTCACTGGCAGAAAGCAAGGTGGTTTTTTATTGCTTTGGTATAACGTTAGCAGGTATTCAGCCTTTGTACTGTGTTACTTTGGAAATTTCTAAGGTACTTATGCCGTGCAGGAAACTTAAATATTCAGAATGGCCACACTGCACTGTCAGTAACTTTCTGAATTTCCGTCAAATTGAAATAGACACGTAACTGGCTGAGCAAACCAGCCGTGTGCAGGGGAAACGGAAAATCGAGGTCCCGGTATTGTAAACCCGTTTACCTTCTGTGGCTAGTTACACAGGACTTTTATGTTAATCAGATATTTCGTTTCCTAGTTGACAATTTTTAAAGAATTATAAAAATCAAACTACAGTTAACATCCTATTTTATTCCAAATTTACTGCAATTGGTCATTTTCTGAACACCGGGATGCCCAGACAAAATTCAGGCGATTTGAACGATCCGCTGGGTTAAATCTGCTTAACAAATTTCCACATAGCGAGGCATCTGTGTCAGAGTAACAGACTTAAAAAACCTGTTGGTCATGACATCGCCTGTGGTCAGCAGCAACCTCAAGATCTCACCCTGAGACCTGGTGCCCCCCTGCCCGGCTCCCAGCACGTGGCCCATGGCGGTGGCTCTGAGCCCCACAGGTCTCCCCCGCAGTGTGTCCCGGGGCCCGTTCCTGGCACGGGCCAGTCTCCCTTGGCTACGTTCCCGTGTCTTCTGGGTGCTGGGAGAGAGAGGCCCTGTCCTCACCGTCTGTTCTTGTCGCAGGCCTCTGTGTTTGAGGACGGCGGTCTTGGTGGGGCTCGGCAGGGAGGCGCCTCCAGTTCCTACGCTGTAAGGCACCCTCTGTGTGGCCCGAGTTTTCTGCATCTGCTGCATGGCCTGGGGTGGCTCGCTCGGCACGGGTCCAGCCCCCAGATCCTGGCTGAGTCATGGGGAGGGAGCCCTGCCTCGTCTCAGTTTCCCGTTGTGTTAAGGTCATGGGTGATGTGAATCCCGGAGCCTGTGGCTGAGGGTCATGTCCCCACTCACTGCGGGCAGAGGGAGGAGACTGACCTCGACGGAGCTTCATCGGCCCTCCCCCTGCGGCTGACGATGCTTAAGGAGTGAGGGGGTCGGTCTTAAAATAGTCAAGGGAAGGAAAGGAGAATCGGACAGGCCGCCGATTACTTTCACCTCTGGGTAGCTGAGGAAGATAAATTCAAAGACTCGGAGCGTCACACGGCGCCATTTCCTCTTCGTATTTTGTCTGCCCGCCTCTTCGAAGGGTTGGAAAGGCATCGCAATAGAGGCTGGTGGCTGTGCACGGAATACTTGTTGAGTGAAAAAGCTGGGCGAGTGGATCATAGAGGTAAACAAGCGGAGACGGGCCGGCCATGGAAGTGAGGGAGCTGATGAGCCTGTTGCGAGGACCAGGGAGCCGAGCAGCGGCCCCGGTCGGCCCTCCCGCGGCCGGTGGCTCCGCGTCCCACGGTGCCCGGCAAGTCCCGAAGAAATGCGCCAGGCCCACGTGCAGTAGAATGGTTTCCTGAGAAATACTTCAAAAATGACGGAAACGAGTGGCTAAATTAGCTGATAGATTCATAAATGAGCTAAATAATCCAATTTTATGATTTAGATTTCTCCAGTCATCATGAACATTCAGGGATTCTTACAAAGTCACCAGCCTAACCTACAGTTTCCTTTTCTTTACAATGTGACCTTTATGGATATCATATCTAATCATCGACAGAGCGTTAGTCTTCGTTGACACCTAATTAAACATTTGTCAGTTTTATATTGTGTAACATTTTTCGTGTAGTGGAGCCCACTTTGTTAACTCTTTTTCCCAGTTCTTAGATGTTTTCGTCAGCCATTAAAATGTTCATAAACCTAATGGGTGAAAAAGCCGTAGCTTATACATGGTAGATAAGGGCCACTAAGTGATTTTCTTTATCAGGAAAGAGGCAGCGTACTAATTCTTTAAGAGAATGAGACGTCCCCAAGCACTGGGTTCCCTGGTGGCCCGAGTAGGGCCTCCGGTGTCTGGCCGGATGTGGGTCATAGATCCTCCGTAACTCCCGCCTCCGTGGCTGACTTTCGGGAGTGGCTGGGCCGGCAGCTGCTTCTGTGCTCCCGGCCTCCCCTGGGACTCGCCGGGAGCAGGCGGGTGGGCAGAGGGAAGGAAGCGAAAGGCTCCTCCTGGCAGCACAGATCCCTACTGTAGGGCCACACGTCCCTGGCATCAAGCCAAGCGGACGAAATAAAACAGAAGAAAGAAAACTCTTTCTCCACGTGAGGGCTCTCCCACGCAGAAGGAGCCCCCCACGCGCTTGTTGACGTCAGTTGGACGGATTAAGCCCTGGGGTCAAAGCCCTCGGCAGAGACCTTGGGGCGTGGGCTCTGTTCTCGGCAGCAGAGCAGCAGGCTGAGTGGGCGGGGTTCACGGGGTTCCCGCCCCCCCCCCNCCCCCCCACGTGACCCCGGCCCTCACATTGCTCTCCACGTGGACAGCAGGCCCCCTGTTCAGGGTGGGGCTCGGGCAGAGCTTCCCCAGGGTCAGGGCCCAGCCAGCAGTGTGGCTCCTGATCAATACACACACTTTATGTGCAAATTCGGGTTCTGTCCTGCCCTCCAGCCCAGGCCGCCCCAGCCCGCACGGGACAGGCTCGATCTGGGAGGACCTGCCAGGCCTCCATTCCCCCGAGGGCTTCGCCTCGGTCACAGTGTATGTTCACAGTCCAGTGGCTTCGTTATCATTAAATGATTGAATGGGATTGAAGGACCAGTTCTTGAGAGCGTAACTGTTTCCTTGAAAACCTTTCTGTTTTGCGCTTCCCTTGCCATTGTTAAGCTAAATGTGTGCTGCAGGAAGGACTTGTGGCTGCGAGTGAGGTGGCTCTTGGGGGCTGTGACACGCTGGGAAGGGTCATCACCGCCCTCTGGTCAGGAGCCACGAAAGCCGTTTATCACAGAAAAGTGAGGCGCAGGGAAAGGCCCACCGTGCGTCGTCTCCGTGGCCCTGGGCACCTCGGTGCAGTCAGGGAGGGTCCTCACTTCCCAGCACAGGTGACAGACTGAGTCACTTTTCCAAAGTCTCAGACCAGTAACAGATGCAGCCTGGACTGGCACGCAGACCTTCCCATGTACCTTAGCCCCACGTGAGCCACAGGAGCCACGCTGACTCCCACACATGCAGCTCCGGGGTGGCACGTGACCATCGCAATGCGGACGTGAAACATGTTCTGCAGGATCAGGGCAGGTCGGAGGGCCCGAGACAGTTTCTCTAAAGAGTTGGGAAACTCGGGTTGGCAGTAAGCCCCGTTAACAGCCCGTCCTATCTCTGCTCCCTGAACCAGGGCTCGAGGGACAGGAGACGGCAGGACTCGTTTGCCCGAGGAAGTCCCCTCTCTCGGATCCCCAAGCCCAAAGGCGGATTCTTCTGCCTACGGTGCCTGTTAGGTGTTTTCCTTTATTTTGCCCAGTAAAACTGCAAGACAAGACTAGTGAACGTGGTACATTTGTCTCTTACACACGGTTGTCTGCATCTGAGACAGCATCTCACACGTGAGTGTGAGTAAACAGTAACTATCAGATGAAGGAAGGGCGTAGGCGGGATGGGACTGGGGAACTTGCTCATCTTGACCGAGGCTATTTACAGTGTAAGATTGAAATTTTTCATTCAACAAGTATTTTTTTTTTTTTTTTGAGTGCACACTGCCAGCCAGGCCTTATCTGATCACTGTTGACTCCGCAGGAGCCTCACCCTCAGGGAATTACCTTCTGTGGGATACAGGCCAGTGCCAGACGGTATTTAAGATAACAGCGGAGATGCTGCGTTGGCCCCTGTAATTTGCGAGGGAGATAATGCCTGCGGGTGTCCCAGTGGGTGCTGGGTGTCGGGAAGGGTTCCCCACAGGCCCGCAGGGCTGCTCCTCGGCCCCGCCCGCCCCCCGGACGCCTGTGATCCCAACTGGGGCTGGAACCCACCTCCCCTCCCCC